TTGTTTGTTATTTGTGGAGCTTAATAGACTTATGATCTGTTGCAAAATAGGGCTGGGTTGACAACACCTGTTAATCAATTTTAATCGATCTTCATTTTGATTATAACATATTTAATGTTTTCTTTTGAGGCAGTTTCAGAACTTCACTGCTGTTCAATGTCCATAGCTTGTTAGACAACAAGAGAATATTTGCTGTATATATATATGTACAATATTTTTACTGTTAGTGATGTCTTATTTAATGTATGATTGAATAATTTTGTCATGAAAACCAGTTCCCTAAAAACTGGTTCCCTCCCTGTACAGTTCCTACAGCTTTAGTTGGTAGAAATTATTTTCCCTATGAAATATTGACATGTACTATATCTGATATATATTTAAATTAATCAGGCAGAATCACGATTGGAATCGAATCAAGTGTGAATGGAATCGTGAAGTATGTGTGCCAATACCCATAAAGATTCTCTAGAATAAAATAATGCCAGAATTTTAATTATTTCACCCAAACATGAAATCCGACTGAACCTCATGCTGATCCAAAAACCTGTATGACTTTCTTGTGAGGAACACAAAGATGATATTTCAAAGAATATTTTAACATGTTTTGCCCATACAATGAAAGTCACTGGGCTCCCATGACTTCCACCGCATGAGCAAAAACCACTTTTGTTTTCCACAGAAGAAAGAAAGTCATTCAGGTTTGGAATGACATAAGGGTGAGAAAATGATGACAGAATTTTCATGTTGGTTGCACTGTCTCTTTAAGCATGGATGAGATGCTTACAGATACACAAATGCCATATGGTTGCTTGCGACAAACAACCCATCAAGTGTGTGATCCACATGTTATTTGCACACAGATACAAAGTTCAGCTTTTAATTACAGCATATGACTTGCTTTATAACAAAATGCTGTATTTTGTTTATTTTTATTAATGTGCAAATAGCTCCGTCAAAGCACAGCGCGCTCGACGTGACTCTAAAGGGAAGTGAATGCCGCGGGAAAGCACAGGGAAGTTCAGCTGCCGCTTTGTTACTGTTTTAGAACACTTATAATGCAGTGATAACTGTGACTTTATTTCCTTCTACAGCCTAGTACAGAACTGCACAACTGACTGCACAAACGAGGGCTTTGCAAAGCATGCTGCTTGTAACCAGCCCTAACATTAATGCGTCTATCTGCACATCACAGTCACATTCTGACTGTCAGAGCAGCCCACAACGACTGATAAAGGCTTGGTCTATTCTAGTACACCAACTGGTCAAATAATAGACTGTTACCAACAACATCTGAGATTATTAATTGCTATTATAAAACCGGCAGGCTGTCTGATCCCTAAGAATGTTCAAATGAGGAAATCAAACAGCCAAAATGCTTTAAATAATGCCAACACTGGCTGTGGCAAAGAGGAGGAAGTATCACAAGAATGCAGAAAATAAATGCTAATGGACTGAAAGAGAAAGGGCACACATGTGGAACTACTTGACTGACTGGTTAAAAGAAACAGATGCTATATTCAGATAAGATAACACTGATTAAACTAAAACATCAAGCATTTTTTTCAGTCTATTAGAAGCAAGCTTTGTCCTTTTATGGTCAAATACATTGAAGTGTAGTTTCATATATTTTAAAGAGATTGTGAAATACATTTATTTAGTTTTTCTCTAAAGTCATAAGTTATTGATCATTTGTATTAGGATGCACAATATATTGGAGGTCATACTGGTATTGTTCATTTGTAATGTTAGTGTTATCTCTCAGATATGAAAATTATATATGATATTCAAAGAATTTTAAAGGTCAGGCATTTGTAACTGCTTCAAAGTAGGCTATATTTGGTCAATAATTTTGAAGTGTGGGGGGGGCTACAACTTCTTGTAAAAAGAAAATACGTTGTTTCTTTTTTTCAGTTTATTTGCTTCCTACAGCTAAGGTGTTTATTTATTTGTTAAATTAAAGCAGTTGTACATTATATGTTTGATATAGTTTGAAGTGCTTGGATTCAATGAGCCTTTAGTTTTTCTAATAAAGCTCACAAAAATGTATATCAAGATTTAGATTTATCTGCTGATATGTTGGTTAGCAGCTTCCATATCTAAAGAATGGAAAGAAAAAAATCTATATCAATGCATCCCTATTTTTTTAATAATCTCACGACCTTTACAATTAAACAGGCCATTTTTTGCTGCTTTAAGGCTTTTTTTTTTGTAAATGTTTGTCAAATGAAATACATCACTTTGCTAAGCAATTTTACTCATGTGTTGTAGTTTTGCGGTCAGGTTTGATGGTTTTTAACTGCCACTTTTGAGGAAACAGCCTGAATTAAACATTCTGACAAAGTCATAATAACAGTTATGAACACCATTACAGTAAAGATGTCAATGTGGAATGACATGGATTGACATCAAATCAGTGTTAGTGGCACTAACAAATACTGAGTGACTGATAAACAGTTGATAATTTGCTGAAATGTTCACTAGTCTGATGTCAGAATGTTGCGGAAGTTCAAAAGAGTCATTTTTGCAATTTAGTATCATTAAATGCTGCAGGGATATGTTTTCAGTTTTTCAATAAAAACAGAAAAATATATTTTTGAATATATCTGAAAGCAAGAAGCTGATGCATCATAATGACAATGTAAAATAAAAAATAGATATATAAATATATATTGTTTCTCATCTCCATCCATTGTATACTATCAAACCATCAGCTGTCAAAGTTTTAGTGCATTCAAAGACCTATAGGAGTGGTTGACCACATCCTCTGATTGAGTGAGATAACTAACCCATCATACAGTCATGTAGAGACAACCAGCTAATACAAACTAAAACCGACTGTAAACTCTTAAGCTGTGGGACTAGCCTGCATTTGCAAGTGCATGGCATGCAGCAGTTATTGATCATGCACGCCTGTCCTCAACATTTCGTGTTAAACACAGCGTTCAAATGCAGTGGGTGTCGGTACCTGTGTATCGCAGGGGTGCAGAGGTGCAGAGGCGCGTCTCTGGCTGTAATCTGAACGCGGTGCGCTCGCACTGGTCTCGCGGAGATCTGACTGCTGCCGCTGCTGCTTCCTCCGGCTGACCCAGTCTCAGCGCGCCCTGACGTCACAGCGCCTCTGCTGCTCTGCGCCAATCAGATGAAAGAGATCGCTGACTCTCAGGTAAGGGGGGCGGGGTTATGTCTGTCGTAATCGGTGTTCCTAGAATTTGATTTTTATAGCTGGCATTATCTGATATCCATATTCCTCAGAGCTCAGGATGTGCTGATGGGGAAATGTGCTTAAGAAAATCTCTCTCCCTCGATCTCTTTCCGCTTATATAAAAGTACAGCTACAGTTACAACAGTGATATTGTGTAATGTTCTTACAATGTAAAATAGCTATTATATAAAATATAATTTATTCCTGTGATGCAAAGCTGAATGTTCAGCATCATTACTCCAGTCTTCAGTGTCACATGATCTTTCAGAAATCATTCTAATATGCTGATTTGCTGATCAAGAAACATTTCTTTCTTTCTTTCTTTCATTATGTATTTATGCATTTATTTATTACCAGTGTTGGGGGTAACGCATTACAAGTAACGCGAGTTACGTAATCAGATTACTTTTTTCAAGTAACTAGTAAAGTAACGCATTACTTTTTAATTTACAAGATAATATCTGAGTTACTTTTTCAAATAAGTAACGCAAGTTACTTTTTTTTACCAATTTATTGATTGACAGCTCTCCTGTCCCCATGTTGAGAGAAATCAGATGTTACTGTAGTTCTAAAATAAATATGAATA